TTTTTTTTTTTTTTTTTTTTTTTTTTTTTTTTTTTTTGGGTCTTGTGCTCTGGCCGTCCCTTGTTGAAAAAAAAAACAAAAAAAAATTCCCTCCTGCTTCTTCTGCTTTTGCTTTTACCACTGTCTGGGACAATCTGGGACTGTCCGTGACCGTCCTACGGAACCATCTTCTGGGACCGTCTGGTATTCACCTAGTGTTCAGCCTGTTGGTAGTAGGTGTGCCCATTCGGCCTTGGCGGGTTCTCTAGCGAGCTACAGTAGGCGGATACATGGCTCACTCTCCTTCTCCATGCTTCTTTTTTTACCTCCGCAGACACACGCATCTTGCCGGTTATGGCAGCCCCTTCTTGGTTCTGGTTGACTACGCGTTGCAACATCACCGCACTCGATTTCATTTTTTCAAGAACACCTTCCTGATGGGCCCACCGTGGGCAAAAAACAGGGTGAACGAAGACGGCAGTTGGTTCTCAGCAGACGGCTCAGCAGGTTCTTTCGGCCTAGCTTGGTTACGGAAAGGAGTGGCTACGGTAGGAGATCTCTGGGACCCGCTGTTGGAAACGTGGAGGCTCCAAGCAGACCTGCAGGGAACGCTGTCCCCACTGAGAAATGTGGTGCACCATTGGAAATAACTACTGAAGGCTATTCCGGAGGACTGGTGCAGACTGTTGGGCCCGGAGGAGATCGACCCTGCAGGGACCTGGTACTGTGCAGAAAGAGAGGAATCAGGGGAGGTATGGATGCTGCTAGAAGTCCTACCCAGTGGTTTCAGGAGGGTCCAGAGATGGCGCTGGCAGCTCCACTCAAACGAGTTGTCCTATATCAGCGAGTCTGTCATCAGAGCTTGGGACAATCCTCCACAAGCGAGAATAGTGGGATGTGGGGCCTCAGTGGGATCAAGGGCTAAGTGTGTCTGGGTTGGCCAAATTCCGCTAAGGAAACTGCGCATTGATCCGGCTGCGTGGAGCTGGACAACGGGCGAAGTAAAGTGCCCTCAATTGCGATTGTTGGAGTACTCAGTGGCGAAAGGATACAGCCTGAGATTGAAAAAGGGCAATAGAAGGTCCCCTGCAGACGTGGAGATCAGCAGATGGCAAGCAGTATTCTCTGAAGATATATCGGATGCAAAGACGTCCTTCCAAGACCTGTGGGAGATGCTGACTAACCTCCCAAATGGCAAACAAGTTTCGCTCTTGTGGTACATATCTTTAATGGTGACCCACTCCGCAGTTTGGCTCACAAGCAAAGGGATGCAGGTTGAGCTTAGTTGCCCCCGATGTAGTTGGCCCTTCGAATCTACAAGGCATCTCTGGTGGGAATGCCTAACTTCAAGAAGAATCTGAAAGTGGTGGAGGTACCACTGGCAAGATTTCGATGATCCAATGGTGGACTGGGAGGAGAAATGTGTGTTGTTTGGCTTCCTTCCAGCTGGCACACACAGGCACCGTGGTTGGGCCTACAATGCTCAGGTAGTAAGAGGACTTCTGTGCGAAATCATATGGACTCGCGTGGGGTACCC